CGCAAGACCTCGTGGCGCAACGGTAGCGCGTCTGACTCCAGATCAGAAGGTTGCGTGTTCAAATCACGTCGGGGTCAAAATTTTCATCTTTACTCTCCGAGCTTATTAAGTATTAAAATTAATAGCACATATTATATTCCGAGTATGATTATGAAATTCAGTCACATGTTGGCAGTAGGCCTACAGAATAATAACAATAATTACACTATTCCATAAGAATTCTAGCATTCAAATATTGAAACGGTGCTTGATCTTTGACAGGACAAGATTACATGTTTATTCTATTGAAAAAATGTTTTACAATGCCAAAATGACATGTAGAATATAGACATTAATATAAAATGTAGACATTTTCACCATAAAATATCATTATATTATTAGATACTTACATATTACTTCATTTTATTTACAAAGTTTGAACATTAATGTGCAGATCACTAGGTGGCGCTGCAGCACAATAAACGCACCAGCTTCACGTCCATATCAGTCTGAAAAACACGAGGTTTGAACCTGACACGCAGTGCTATTAACAGACAGGAGCAGCAGAATAAAGTCCTATAGGATAATTCCAGAAACTGCAGCACAGACCTCGTGGCGCAACGGTAGCGCGTCTGACTCCAGATCAGAAGGTTGCGTGTTCAAATCACGTCGGGGTCAAATGTTTATTCTTCGCATTTGAACCCACAGATATATATTTATAAAACAATAAATGCAGAGAACGTAAATAAGATCTCATTCTGAAATCCAGAGGAACAAATCTTACCTTCATACAAGTGTGGGGCAGTTCATGTGGATATTAAATGTTCAATATTCAGAGAACATAAGGGAAGTTGATCCTGCGGTGCCAAAGAGGTATTTTAGAGTAAACATCAGCGTTTTGGGTCTAGGTTTTTTTTTTTTTCGTTCATTGGATCTAAAATGTTTTTTTTGTTTTTTTCTCCTTGCACTTGTACTCCTGCAATAATATACATCTTTCACTAGGGGTCAGTGTGTATCATGTGTGTATTTTGCACAGGACGATTAAACATTATGCAAATCATAGATTTCAGTCACGTGACTGGCGCGGAGGGCAACACATCCCTAGAACTGCCGCACAAGCCTGTCATTTTATCATCCGTTTCAAACCACTGTTATTTAAAACACATTTAACAATAAGAGAATCGAAGATATGTGAACAAACGACAAGTTTTGGCCACTTTCGGTCCATGCACATCATCGCCAAACAGCGGGACAGTCTAAACGTTTATCGTGGCAGTGATAATTAAAGCTCAAATTTACACCTGAATGATGATGCATACTATAAGGCAATCAGATGCACCTAGAATTGGACATTTACGAATGACTAAACATTCACATGTACGTACACACACACACACACACAAACTTAAGAATGTGCTATTTTTATGGCAAATAAAACGTAAGTCACAGCCTCCCAGGGGCGCATTAATGCACGGGCTTCAAGGGGCTGAAGCCTAGGGGCCTACACTGGAAAGGGGGCCCACTGGCTGCAGGGAACTTATATATTTTTAATAATTGTTTATATGGGAGTTTGCAGCAGTGACACCAGCGTTCTGTAAACAAACTCACACACTCATTTTCAGCGACGCCCTGGTTGTAGTAGCCTATATAGTGAATGGCTCAGTTTAGGTTCCCCCCACACAGTTTGTATAGTTGGTATGTTCCACGTGAGACATCGATATACTGTAAGTGGAATGTACAATGCATTCGCTAGTAAATAACCGCAGCACGAGAGTATGACTT